TGGAGGGGGGCTCGGGGGCTGGGGGTTGGGGCACGGGAGAGGATGGTGAGTGGGGCTGTGGAAGGGAGTTTGGGTACGGGAGGGGCAGGGGGTTGGGGTGCCGGATCTGGGCGGCGCTCACCTCGGGCAGCTCCCCACAAGCGGCAACATGTCCCTGCTGCTCCTAGGCAGAGGCGTGGCTACGTGACTCTGCGCACAGCCTCCACCCACAGGCGCCGCTCCCACAGTTCCCATTGGCCATGGTTCCTGGCCAATGGGAGCTGCGGAGCCAGCGGGTGGGGCGGGGGCAGCGCACGGAGCCCCCATGGCCGTTCCTCCACCTAGCAGCAGCAGGGAAATTTCGCCACTTCCAGGAGCCACACGGAGGCAGGTAGGGAGCTTGCTGGCCCCGCCCCAACTGGACTATAAACTGGACTTTCAATGAAGATCAGAAATGCCAGTTTCCAGTTGGTAAAGTGCCGGATAACCCCGCTTTTACTCTATTTTTGTAAACTGGAAAAAGTGTTCTACAGAGTTAACCCTCAGGGCTATTGTATGGAAAACCCGGCATGAAGGTATTTTTCTTTTTTAATCTCGTTCCAATGTAGCTTCGGCCGTAGAGTTTCCGTGCGACACAAACGTGGAATGCACACACAGCACCGACCGTAGTGTAAAGTGGAGCAAACCATATTTGAAATATTCACAAATAAGGTCACCGATTCTGTGATTTTAGGTGACCGTGACGTCAGCCCCGGGCGGCGGGACTTGGCCTCCAGCTGTCAGCCCCGCGCTGGGAGGAGCGGCCTTCTGTGATTTATTTATTGCCCGGGACCTTCCCGTGATTTTTACTAAAAGTGCCCGTGACAAAATCTTAGCTTTACTCGTGAATACATTTTAAAGAAAATCTACCATTGTTCCTTATACAGACTTCCCCCCACTCCCCACCCCGTTGCACATATTGCACAGGTTTTCAACACAACATTTGCAAGTCTCTACTTTGGCACAAACGTGTCAGCGCATTGCCCTCTGATCTTATTTCAGACACGTTTTCTCAGGCCTTTTCCTCCCTGCTGAAACCAAAGTGCCTTGTCCTCCACTGTGTTTTTACTTTAGAATAGCACCTACACCTTAGTTACCCTGCGGTTAACAAACAAACAAACAAAAATCACCGTTCTTAGCAGGGAGGGAAAGACCCGGAGCTGGATTCATAAGGGGACTG